GAAAAACAACAACGACAATGACAGCAGCAGCAGCAACAACAACAACTACATTAACATCAACAACAACAACAACAGCAGCAACAACAGCAACAACAACATCAGCAACAACAACAACAACAACAACAACAACAACAGCAACAACAACAACAACAACTACATCAACAACAGCAACAACATCAATAACAACAGCAACAACAACAACAGCAGCAACAACAACAACAACAACAACAATAATAACAACAACCTGTCCTTTCCGCTCCCTTTTATATGTCTTTGTGTGCCTATCTTCGTTTTGTGTCGATGCATAAAACGCTACTGTCAGTTAAAATCTGTTACAATTTATTTTCAATGGTTAACACTATTTTATAATCGTTTACAATCAATTACAAACAATCATCATTGACAATCAACAATCGTTTGGAATTACTTACAATCATTTACGATCAACAATCGCATACAATTATTTACAATCAACAATTACATACAATTACTAACTCTTGTTTACATTTAAAAATCTTGTACAGTCACTTATAGTCATTTCAATCCTTTTCAATCATTGGCTATAATTTTCAATTATTTAAAATTATAATGATTAACAATCCTTCACTGTTAATAAGAACCATTTACATTTTGCAGTTATTTAGTATCATGCACAGTCATTTACAATCATTTATTATCATGTGCAATCATATTAATTATACAGTCATCACGTTCTGACACCTCCTCCGTGGATGGTTGGTGGGTGCCCTGGTGAGGTTTGCTTCTTCTTTCCTATCAAACATCTATCGTCTTTGTCTCCCCTCCTTCTTTTTTTGTGTTTGTTACTCTCTTGTAACACCTCTAATCTTGGGCACGTATATGACCGTATACAGTTGTCAGCGCGGTAAAACCTCTACTAAAAATAAAACTTAAGTTTCATGCCCACTCATTTGCAATCATTTAGTTATTTAGTATCATGCACAGTCATTTACAATCATTTATTATCATGTGCAATTATGTTCAATCATCGCGTTTTAACTGCTCTGGTGTGGTTAGTGGTTCGCTTCTTCTTTCCTATCAAACATCTATCGTCTTTTTCTCCTCTCCTTCTTTTTAGTGTGTTTGTTACTCTCTTGTAGCACGTCTAATCTTGGGCACTTAAATGACCTTATTGTGTTGCGAGCGCAGTAAAATCTCTACTAAAACTAAAACTAACAATCACTCACTGTTATTAAGTATCATTTACAATTTGCAGTTAGGGTCTTGCAGTCTTTTGCCATCATCTACAGTTACCTAGTATCATAGACAGTCATTTACAATCATTGATTATCATGTGCAATCATATACAATCATCGCGCTCTAACTGACAACCCCCCCCCCAAATGACGTCGCTAGCTGCTGTGGGCCAGTGGTGTGAAGAGGACTCTGGCCAGTGCTGAGATGCCCCATGACGTCAAAAGTGCTGAGGACATGCTAAAGGCTCATGACGAGGTGATGGACGACATTAAGGCACACAGGGACAAGTGAGTTATACCTCTCTTTCTGTCTCTCTCTCTGTCTGTCTGTCTGTCTGTCTGTCTGTCTCTCTGTCTGTCTGTCTGTCTGTCTGTCTGTCTGTCTGTCTGTC